GGTTAGCAATTGTGACTGTGTATCATGCTATTCCAATGTTCACGTACGGGAGAGAATCCTGAACCTTGGTGACATCAATCATTGTCCGCGGTCGGAGTCTGTACTGCTGGAAGAGCTCGAGGTTCTGGCGGTAGGACCACTCTCCTGCGGCACCGTTTCGGTAGTACGTGTAGTTCGCATCCGAGAGGTAGTTGCGGGCAGCAAACTCAAAGTCGGGAAGACCGACCATCTTCTCGAGAGGAGCCAGGTCGCCGACCTTGAGATCAGGAAGGGAGAGCTCAATGGCAGTGTCAGGCTCATTGAGGAAGGGCCGGGCAGCCATGGCGCCGGATGCCAGGAAGGCCGCGCTGGAGAGGAATTGGGCCTTCATGATGATACTTGGACGTCGAATAAGTGCGATTCAAAATATTACTTTTGAATAGGAGGCTACGACCAAAGGAGTGACTGCGTCCGTGGAGAGTGAACCAGACAACCCGAGAATGAAGGCTGACCTTGAGCTATTATACTCGACGACAGAATATTCCTAGCCGGCACTCCGAGCTTCGCACAGCCAAGAAAAGGGTTCGTCATCCTCTAATTACAACAGGGGAATACGCAAACCGCCAAGAGACCCCGGGGAAGGGACTGTGACATCTCGGGCGCAGGCGAATGGAACCCTATGGCCAAGAGGGAACAGGCAGATGAGAGGTTCTTTTTTTCCAAGTTTTGCCCTGTTCTGGACTGTTTGAGCCCTCCGTGATCCAGGGGTGCGTCATCCTGCCCCTCGAGCAGACCATTGACATTGCAGGGAACTTGCAAGTGATCAATGCGTTGACAGCAAGTCACGGCGTGGCGTTGATGAAGAGAGCTCCGAGTCTCCGGCGGCCGAGCCCAGCATTCGACAGATCAAGCTTCTAATTAACCATATTCGTCAGCAATGGGGTTCCGGGAGGGGCTGTGTTTCGGTCTGCCTGTGGCAATGCTCCCTTCCTCTCGTTAGCCTGCCTTTGCGTATTGCGTGCGTTTCCCCTTAGCGTTGCCATCATCAAGAGAAGCCGGCAATACTCGCCTTCCCGTCACATCGTCCCTTCCAATATCATCGGTGAGAATATCGAAGCAATAAACCTGGAATGCAACATTACGTGAATCATTCCTCTCCAAATTTTCGTCTGATTAAGGATGTCTTTTGTTTGACAGTGTCCCCTCTTCCCCTCACTCATGGGCTACCCCAGCCTGCCAAGAGCGATCATCCCAGTATGCAACATGGGTTACGAAATCGGAAGCTGGAGATTGATAATGCTCACATAATTTTCCTCTCTTTCTGTGCCTCGGCAGACAATATTCTCAATGAAGCGCACATACTGATGCATTCGTAGCACAGGCCCCTTGAGATCAAACAGACCTGCTGCAGGTACCAAACAAGCAGCTGCATACACATCCCAGCACATTTCCTTCCATTTCGCCTCTTGCCAATTACAAATCAGGGTTCCTGCAGACTCTGTAGCAATGACACGACTTTTGCTGTGTGACGGGTGGCGCATTGGTCTTGGAAGTTCTCGGCAGGCATGGATGTGATTTTATTTCCCTGCCCTGATAATCAACCTCGTGAGTCGATTGCACGGAATGTTGGGTTTTTTCCTCTGTTCTGGGCCTAGGTAATGTTTTCGCTCCTTCACCCAAGAGGGCCATCTTGATTCCCTGGTTTCCGAGTGTTCCCCATACCAGAGCATCAACGCCGGCCGGGGTTGATAATGTCGCACGCCATGCATCAGTCCTTTTCTTTTAATTGGCAGGGGAAGTGAATTTTGTATCGGTGGTTTTAGTCTTGCTGAAGAATTAATTGAGACCCAAGTCCTGTCAAGACATATCCCAGGTGTCACTTGGAAGCTTATTGAGCATTCACGGATCGATGGCATTGACATCGATATCACAATTAAGATGGACAACATTCTCGTGTTTCGTAACGAAATAATTGATTTTATGCCTTAGAATGGAAAATAAACCCCCCTTGCATCCCAAGCAAAGAAGTTATCAGCGCAATCAACCTATTCTGGCCATGACCAATTCTCTTTCCCTCCATCCAGGCACTGTCGAGGCCTCAAGACTTTTCTCCCCCGGCATTCGCTTCTTAATATCTGTCCTTCAATTTATCCCCCCCATTCTTATTACCACCCGATTCGTAAGATTATCAGCTCTTCGACACCCTTAGGCTTCACCTCCGTTGCCAATTCGGATGCGGCCTTCGGGGTTGGTATTCAATCCATGAGACCACCATCCTCCAACTTCCGCAATCGTCTCGGGAATCTGGCGGTTGGAGATGAGGATCCAGAATCCGAAGACAACCTTGGTCAACATGTCCAGGACAGCATATGTGATGATCTCAGCATCAACTGACATGCGATGTCCGCCCTGAGCAATACCCCAGATACTAAGATGCCATGTTAGCCCAAGAATTCATGATGCCAGATCCAGCGTCCGACTTACATTGGATAAATGGCCCAGAGGATCAGGATGAAGCCAGCCAGCGAGCCAAATAATTTGGTCAGACGCTCACCACGGGCCTTGACGACCATGGAGCCCTCAACGGCGATGTGCCAGATCACGAAGATGTAGGCGATCACGGCGATGGTGAACCATCCCCAGGTCTGGGAGGTGTGCTTCTCGCCAAGCGCGGAGAACAGCCCGGAAAAGACCATGACCAGGTCAGCGAACACCGCCATGGCGATGTGTGCGCCGTCAAGACCAGCCAAGAGGCCGAGCTCGACGAGAAGGAGCGGAGTGGTGATGGCCCAGTCGACGTATCGGGACCAGAAGACCTGGCGACAGACGTCGTGGTGGGTGTTGGGGACCTTGTTGTGGTGATCTGTGACGCTGTGGCAGTTGAGGGCTGAGGCAGACCCGGAGGCCATGGCGAAGTAGGACAGTGCGCCCACGATGGTGATGACGGTGGTCAGGACGTGGTAGACGCGGCGGGAGACGGGGATTCGCCATGCCTGGAGGGAGAAGAGCGCCGCGGAGGCGATGAAGATGACGAAGATGACCCAGAGGGTTCGGAAGCCATCGCCGCCCGCTCGCTCATAGGTGACTGGGTCGGCTGTCCGGTGATGTTAGCTGCTTTGCTGAGTCCTGTAATTGATTTGGTTCATTCACTCACGGATTACGGTCGGGACCGGGTCGACCGGATGGCCGCCTTTATGGCCGCCCTTGCCACCGCTCATGATGTCTTCAAACAGCATCGTGGAGAGTGTCGGTCAATTCGGTAGGATCCTGCTCTGGTCAGATTGGCTGTGTGGTGGGAGTCGAGATCAATGAGATGTGATGAAACATGCAATAGTGACGGGACGACATCCAGCTTTCCCTGGGCATGGCTCTTTTTCAATGGAATGTGCTTACGACGAGCTTCCATGCGTAGGCCGGAGCTCATCTCCTGCCGTCGATGGTGGACGTCATACATTACATGTTGAGAAGCTCTATTTGGTCCAGATCTGTGCGGGGGAACGTCCATGCATCGCCCGCCTCCCGCCCGATCCAACGATCCCCACCCAAAAGGCAAGAATTTCTAGGCGAATACTGGCATTTTAATACGAGGCGGTCAAAGGATTTGCCGTAATTCGCGTCGGGGAGCCATGTGAAACCTGAACTCTAAGCTCCACCGACGTCAGAATGACTCTCTTGGACCAAGTTGCTGCCACGCAAAAGTCCTATGACACATCATATTTCTCACGCCGGACGCTCTGGGAACTGACTGTAAGGCAGAAGTCCCAAAAGGCAAGGTCATGCTCCTCTTCGCTCTCCCGAGGCTAGGCCAGAGGCGGGAGCACGAGAATCCCGCTTAGACCCGGCTTTGTCTCTATTGGTGTTGCCACTAACAGCTTCTTACTTTACAGGTAAAAGGGATATATTAAGACTATTACTTCTAACTAGCCAATTGGAAGCGCAGAATAAGACACGATGCTATTGAGCTGTAGGCAAAGTAATATGTCTTAACGAAGAATGGTCCAACAGTCCGCAGGCGCGATGCTTGTGCAAGTGTAGCAATTGGTTCATTGATATGCCTGCCCCTCAGTGACCTACAAAAATCAATTGATAAATTGACGTTGGATCGAAGACGCGATCACCTGCGGCAGACGGGAGGCTAAGCTGGAGGAGGAGTACTCGAAACTCGCCGCCACCCCCTTTGAGGGCATTCGTAAGACAATAAAAGCAGGTGTTCACCATTAAAGCTATAATTTTATCGTTTCATCCCGTATTTCTTTTCTCCTTCATCAGCTAATCTAGACTATTTCATAAGCTGCTATTTTCTACATGCAATAGGACGGATTCCTTGAAATTCAGAAGCATGTCTTCACGATGCGATAAGATAGCAATGGTCTATGTTTTCTATGATATAGAAGCGTTATTCATAGGTAGCTAGGACTTATAGATCAAGATCTAATTATTAACGTACAATATTAACTTGCTATATCTAGGCAATTGTTTATATCTCGTAAAAAAGGTTCTCGTCCTGGTCCGCCAGCATGGACGACTGATACTATCCTGCCAATAAAGGTTATATTAGAAGCAATAATGTAGCTTGTTTAGATTAAGTATCGGATAGACACCAGGGGTAGAAATAGATCATGATCCTATAATCACAGAAGGATAGAGTCTTACGGACACCACCCCTTCTGTTCTATATCGTAAGGCGCTTTGTAATTTTCAAAAAGAGATAAATCAATGTAGGCTTAATTTTAAAGCCTATTATTCTTGAGATATTATTTTACCCAGCTCTCTTTTTAAATAAGCTCTATTTATGCTATAAGGTAAGCTACTACCAGTTTATTATTTACTAGGTAAGAATTTAGAATATCTATCGTGTATATTATATGCTGTAGAATTACGATCTGATTTATTAGATTTGAGAGGATCATCGAGATTCATTCAGTCTACATCTTTTCCCACAAGCCTGCGACCTTGGTGGTGCAGCATTGGTACCGCTTCTTATCGCTTTATTGACAAACCGTTGTATCAAACCTGCTATAATGGCGAACTGCGGCGCTGCAATAACACCCTCGACATCGGTGACCCAATTTGATGATGTGCGTGACTTCCATTTCCATGCACATCAAGCAAGCTAATGCTGGATAGCTTCACTTTGACCCAGAGGGTCAAGTTATCATCAATATGGTGACCAAAAACGACGTTTCTGCGGCCAGCGCCGTGGACGAAATAGCCACCCTCAGTTCAACCACCGCAGCTTCTTCTGCCGATAATGCTTTATACCGACATGCTTCAAATGTCTCGCTCACCATTCATGCTCTCTCAAAACGCATCCCACACAACCAACAATCCAAGCTCGTTGAATTTTGCATTCGCCTCCAACAGGTAACTGTACCTGATCCCACCAATGGCGGGGTTTTGGAGTACAAGGGCCAGGTTTTCTGGTCACAAATGCCTCAAATGTCTATCACTTTAGCTGAGTATCAGCTCACTCGCGGTACGTTTCGCAATATGGCAACAGCCCTATCTTCACACCAGACCACAAAAGAGAGAAATACAGTGAAAGCTCAGACTGTCTGACTCCATCGGTAGCTCCCACTGGAAGCAATGAGGACGCGAGTTATAGTTATGAAAATTGCACAGCTTGGCGTGCTCAACTATCCGAACTGGGATTTTGTCACTACAAAGAGGATATATCCTGGAATTATGACCATCTAACGCGCGTATTCCAGCAGAATTATCAACCGACAAGAAAGAGGCAGGACGTACGATTGATGTGCATGTGGTTTATCCATGCCCCCCAAAAGGTCTGGCTCGACTTTCAGCTGCGCCGCAAGCGAGAGAACAGCTATCTACGTATGACGGAGGAATTCCAGCCGTGGTTCTGGTCAAGTCGGAAAGATTTCTTAGAAGACTGCCAGGAACTGCCTTCAGAAGACAGCGAGGATGAAGACATGCTCTCTGATGGTGATGATGATGAGAATGATGACGACGATGCAGAGGATGTTGGCGTCGAGGACGGGCAGGATCTCTCAGATAAAGACACGCAAGAGCTCATTGGGCGTGCACTGAATAATATAGAGGAGGTGGAGATAGAACAAGAAATATATTAGGATGAGGTGTTAAGGAAAGGGTTTCATTACTAGTGTTAGATTTATGTACTAGGAGTATTTATTATACCTATAGGCAATGAAAGTATCCCAAGGGTGTTTTTACTAAGATCTTACCTACCTTACTTTATATTAAATCCTACCCTCTCTTTTTACAAATTCCACCTCCCTAACTTTATAATCTATATTACTTTTTTTATAGTATTTTCTCTAAACTCTATTGGAGTTTTCTATTATGGTTTCTGCACTTTAGCCCATGTGATAACGTCACCTTGTATAGCTGTCTCATATCAACGAATGGATCAATATTATTTTCATTGCCTGATACCTGTTTCTATTTCCATCTTCCTGTGCTAGCTTGTCTTACGGGAGCTGGAACACATCATCAACTTTGACCACCTGCCCAGTCGCAATGGACCTATTGGCCGCAATCCCCGTCAAGATGGACGCAGCACCGTCAATGTGACTCGCAGCTCGATCATCCCGCGCGCCATCCTCTGCCTGTGGCCCAAACAGGTCCCCGAGAAGCACCTCGTCCCCCCCGCCGTGCGCTCCCGCCCCGTCAACAATCTCCAGCTCGACGGGCTTCTCAAACAGCCTCCGCAGCGTCACCGTCCTGCTCTCCAGCTTGCCCTCCTCGCCCTGGGCGCCGCTCGCGCTCACGTAGCTGTTCTCCACGATCTCGGCCTCCAGCCGGCCCTGGGTCCCGTTGATGCTGACCCGGAAGCCCTCCCACGGCGCGTACGCAGTGAGGGAGTACGTCAGCGTGGCGCCGCTGCGGTACCGGACCAGCACGCTCATCGTGTCCTCGATGTTGATCCCGTCGCCGAACACGCTCTGGTCCCTGTGGTAGCCGTCCTCGTGCTCCGCGTCCAGGTACAGCGCCTTGAGCTGCTCGTTGCCCTCCATGTGCAGGGCGAACGGGTCCGCCCTGGCCGCCTCGCTGCCGTGCGCCCTGCTGTAGAACTCCGTCACGCCCCGCCCCTCGGCGTTCTCTTTACCGTAGAACTTGAGGTCCCCCTGCGCGTAGACGGTCTCGGGGCGGCTCTGCAGCCAGTAGTTGACCAGGTCGAAGTGGTGCGTCGACTTGTGCACCAGCAGCCCGCCGCTGTTGCGCTTGTCGCGGTGCCAGCGGCGGAAGTAGTCGGCCCCGTGGGAGGTGTTGAGCATCCACTCGAAGTGCACGCTGGTGACGGCGCCGATGGCCCCCGAGCGGAGGACCTCGGAGATCTTGGTGTTGTGCGGCGCGTAGCGGTAGTTGAAGGCGACGCGGACTCTGCGGCCGGTGCGCTGGACGGCCGAGAAGATCTCGCCGCAGCGGGCCGCGTCTATCGTCATGGGCTTCTCGCTGAGGACGTTGCAGCCGAGGTCGAGGGCTCGCACGATGTAGGTGTTGTGGGTGCGGTCGATGGTTGTGACGATGACTTCGTCCGGTTTGGTCTCCGCGATCATCTTGTCGAAGTCGGAGGCGAGGTAGACTGGGACGGGCTTGTGACCCAGACTCTCCAGCTTGGAGTTGGCATAGCTGAGACGGGTCTGGTTGGTGTCGCAGAAGGCGACGAGGGAGCTTGTCTTGCTGTAGGTTGTCGCGAGGGCAGTGTAGAAGAAGATGGCTCTGCTGCCGGTCCCGATCAGGGCATATCGTTTGCCTCCGGCCGATTCAGCCATTCTGATGAATTTGTAGCTTGGGTAATCCAAGACGCTCTACTGTTCTGATGAATGGCTTGTTCAAGGCGTCCCCTTAAACCATCCCATGATGCTATTTAACGCGCTTCATCATCTGCAGTACCTTCGGGCCATCTTTGCTTTAACAGCCGATTTACCAGCGAATAAGAATCACCACGAGTGGATCGAGGTCTCTGATTCGCATCATCCAGAGAGTGGTCACTTCTCTCCAGCCAAACTAAAAATGGAGATGCCCTCTCCCCAGCCAGTTGTTTTGGTGCGGGGAACTTGGGGCAGGGCAGCTCGGGGTAATTCAACAACATGGGCATTTTCTCGGGGAAGAGTGCCATGAATCGCAGGTGATCTGCAGTAACCCAAGTGGCCCTCGCCAACGGATTATTCCTCCAATTGCATCCCGCCCAGCCTTTATCCTCCATTCAGCCGCTCCAAGTACAGGCCAACTGACGAGGATGCTGCATGTCACCGTAACTACCCAGCATGTTTCTTAGATGATCCCAATACTTACGAGGCAGCGGCAAATGATTGCCGGGTCACTAGCCGGAAGTCACCCCACGGCAAGGCCAGGTTAATTACTGTTCGAATATGAATATATTATCTTAGACGGCGACGTCGTGGGGGCAAGGCCGCATACCCGGATCGCTCATTCATTGATTCTATCTAAGAAAGAAAGAACAAATATAGCTGCTCGTCAGTGATCAAGAGGCAAGACCATGGCATCGAATCCCGCCAACGATGGCAAACAGGCTGCCAATAATACCACCGATGACATAGCTCCGGTGGAAGCCCAGCAGCCTCGAGTTGTTCGTATGGAAAAGGCCGCTCAGTTCTTGGCCGAGCACAGTTCTGAGAACCGCCCGTTCACTTACGAGGAGGAGAAGGCTGTCGTCAGACGCATCGATGGGCGCGTCCTTGTTGTGCTTCTCGGGGCCTACTTCTTCCAGCAGCTCGATAAAAGTTCCTTGAGGTGGGTTATTTCTGCTTCGTCGTATCCATAGTTCCATGTTGGTGCTGACCTCTGTCCTCCTGAAGCTATGTATCCATCTTTGGGATCGACAAGGACGCAAACCTCCACGGGAAGCAATACTCGTGGCTTGGATCCATCCTCTACCTCGCCCAGCTCGTCATGCAACCTGCCGCCGCCTACATCCTTGTGAAGCTTCCAAACGGCAAAGTCATTGCGGGGGCAGTCCTTCTCTGGGGTGCCTCACTGGCCATCATGACTTCCTGCACAGACTTTAAATCCCTTCTTGGACTGCGGTTCTGCCTTGGTTCCTTTGAGGCGATGATCGCGCCGTCCTGCGTTGCAGTCACCCAGATGTGGTGGCGGCGCGGGGAGCAGACGCTGCGCACCGTCTCCTGGAACGCAATGAATGGCGTCACGTTCATCGTGGGCAGCCTTGCGACGTATGGGCTAGGCCACATCAATAGCAATGTGCTGTACAAGTATCAGATCATCTTCCTCTTCTGCGGGCTGCTGACTGTCGTTTACGGGGCCTTCGTGCTGTATTGGATGCCCGATTCGCCGATGGAAGCCAAGTACTTGACAGAGAGGGAGAAGTACATCGCCGTGGAGCGGCTGCGAGCGAACCAAATGGGTGTAGCATCTAGGGAGTGGCGTTGGGACCATGTGTGGGAGACGGCGATCGACCTGAAGACCTGGTGCTGGTTCGTGTGTATTGTGGCAATCTCGTGAGTATTGACCCTGTGCTACAACTCAAGAAAACGGGATAATTCTGACATATAGTCCAGCATTGCCAGCGGTGGCATCAGTACATTTGGGAATCTCATTGTCAAGTCGTTTGGGTATGATTCGTTCCAAACGATCCTCTTCAACATCCCCTTTGGAGTCATTCAGATCATCGCCATCCTCGGCTCTGGGTGGCTGGCAACCAGATTCCAGCGTAAAGGCCTCGTCATTGCAGGCTGCAGCGTGCTTCCTGCGATTGGCACCATCCTCATGCTCACAGTGCCAAGGCAGCACAAGGGTGTTCTCCTGTTTGGCTACTATCTTGTAAGTCTATTTTCAAGTTGAACCACATTCTATTTGATGATATCAAGCCGCTAATGTCGCACTCAAGGTTTCGTGCCTTGCTGCTATCACTCCCCTGTTCTACGCATGGCAGGCTCAGAACACTGGAGGTGATACTAAGAAGAAATGCACCTCAGCAGTGGTCTTTATCGGGATGTGTACAGGCAACGTCATCGGTCCTTTGCTCTACTCAACAGATGATGCGCCTCTCTATCGCCCTGGTTTGATTGCTAATTTGGTCATGTTCACCCTTGTGGGCGTGTTGTCTGCGTAAGTCTCACCTCCTGAATAAGCTGGGTACTTGAGTTGGCACGGATCTTTGGAGCTGACGAGATCATCTAGATTGGTTCCCTTCTACCTCATGTATCTGAACAGACAGCATGCCAGGAGAAGAGAGGAGCTCGGCAAGTCGGCTACTCTTATTGACGAGTCGATGGCACGCAAGGATCAGATGCAGGGTGGCAAGGCGGTGGAGATGGAGGAAGACGTGGGTGTAAATCAGCAAAGGCGGGCAATGGAGGAGGACAATGGTTTGCAAGACATGACGGATCTGAACAACGAGGATTTCATCTACGTCTACTAGCAGGTAGTGGGTAGCCATGTACTTTCCATATGGGACAAGGTACTAGGAGATTTCATACTCAATTCAGCTTCAACAAGTTGAAGTAAAGTACCATTCGGTATACCGAGGGATATATCCTGCCTCCAGATTGATGAATTGATGACCTACTGCCCACCTCCACGACAGAAAATGAAACTATATGTGTCGTGGACGCAACACCACGATTCACGTGCTATTTCCTCGAATATAACAGAAATCACATGGAATTTCTCGCACGACCAAGTGAGGGGAGATGCGAATGGTTCGGTGGATACGGGGCGCAGAGATGGTATTCCATGATATCAACTGTGCGCTTAAGTGTTTTGAAAATGAAAATGAACAGTGCAACTCGCCTATTTGTGGCTTATCAACGCTCATAACCAAAGCTAGGGCAACTTCGATCCTATACCAAGACTCGGCATGGCCAATTTCAACGTGAGGACTGGCCGCGACTGAGGTGGATCTTACCAAATGGACGCCCGAGGCAAATACCGGGATAAGTACTCCCAAGAGATTATACTACGTACAGCGTACTCTCGTCATTATGGAGAAATTAGAGAACGGGGCAGGGACCTGCGCAATTTCCACAAGCTCTCAAGAACAAGGCACCAGCACCGAAGGATTCAGGGTGGGCTCTATTAGAAGGGTATAGAAATTAACCCACCAAGCTTGCGCACCATTTCTTTC